ATAGTACTGCAGAGTGTGATACCTATGCTGGCAGAGTGAGAGAACAATTCTTTTTAAGCAGTTGCTCACATAGCTCAAAACATTAACTGTTGACAGGATCTTGATCTCTGTTAGTTTTAGATTAAATCCAAGAGCTGCTGAAAAGTATCATCATCACTTTAAACTTCTATCCACCCACTTTATATGGTTCGCCTTCCTCATTTCAGATCTCTCCTTCTACTTTCCCATCCCTACCAAATAAAACCAAAAATATTCCTTCTCCCCAGTTTTGACTTGATATTGTAGATAGGTAGGACAGATGTAGGCTAACAGTCTGACCGAGAAAATGTCAGTTTAGTAAAGATCTTTGTATCTCATTTTCCTTTTAAAGAGCTCTTGTGTTCTGCTCCCCCATTACCTTCAACAGGTAGATTTGGATGTAACATTACCAGGAGAAGGTGGAAAAGATCGTCCCTTCAAGGTGTCAATAAAGTTTGTTTCTCGGGTGAGCTGGCACTTGCTGCATGAAGTTTTGACAGGAAGAACCTTGCCTGAGCCTCTGGAATTAGACAAACCAATCAGCACTAACCCTGTTCATGCTGTTGATGTGGTGCTACGACACCTGCCCTCCATGAAGTAGGTTCTCTAATCTTTGTTCCCTCTCTCCCATTAGCCTCTTTTCAATTTTGGGGTGACGTCCATTCATATTTTTTGCACAAACATGGTAGTAGGGAAATTGATTCAGCCATTCCCTACATGGAATTTATTTTACTAATAGGCCTGGAAAGATTCCTGTGCTGAGTCAATTGAAGCTAATATTATGTAAGTGTAAATATTTGTGCAGGCAGATCAGACTCAGAATTGGTAATATCAAAGACTTTCCATGGTGGATTATTCAAGACAGTATCTTCCCCCAAAAATCTGTTAAGGCCATGAGATGCTTGTTCTGGATCGTCAAGCCAAGTTTAAGAATTCTGAAACAAAGAAAGGATTGCAATATATTATATCACTGCATCTTTTGTGTACTCCAGTTTAGTGGTGATTCCATGTAACTTGTGATGTGCCTTATCTGAAAGCATGTGAGTTTTTAATTAATTGACATTTTACAGAACTGCAACTTCATGTTTTGATTAAACAGTTGGGATTATTTTTCTGTAACAGTATCTGTTTTTCTCGTTTTAGAATTCTAACATTTTTAGGGAGGCCAGTCTAATTAGGATATAAATTTTGCTGTAACTATGTACTGGAGGTTTCTTTATCTTTTAAAGTTTGAGTATTGATTTCAGACACAAGGGCAGTTTTCTCTTATGCAGATTGAAATTAAATACATCGATGAAACATATCTGTAACTTGCCAAAATTATCTTGTGGATTTATGGAACTAAAGTCCTTCAGCTGTCCCAAATTCTAGAGAAACATGAATGCTAATGACCTTTACACTGCTGTCATCCAAGCTGAGTGGTTATACTCTGAGAGGTTATTGCACAACTATTATTCATCCTAAATGCCAACATAACTTTTTTTCAATTTTTGCTTACACCAAGCTTTAGTCAATAGAAAATTAATTGGTCGACCTGACTAAAAATGTATCAGTTTGGTAAAACATACCCACTTTCATGCTAGTCCAAAAGGATATCTGAAAGAGTGGATCCAGTATACACCAAACAGTATTTTGTAGAGTCATCCTGCCAATCATTATTTGTGCTGCAGTCAAGATCATGCTTCACCTGAAATTAAATCATCGTTTCAGATCATGTAATGTTTAGGTTTTAATTTGCTCCAAAAATCACAAATAGCTGTCATTTAAAAAATGTAATGCTTGCTTTGACTAAAATTAAAAACACCATGATAGAAACAGGGATATACAGAACGTTACGCTCAAAATCATAGCTATATCTTGCTGTATTTTGTGAAATGTGACTTTTTATTGAATAGATATTGACATATCAATACAACTTACTGTGAGATGGAATAGTAGTCCTTGTTAAATACTCACATGGAAGGCAGTATCAAATGCAGATGGCTACTCTTATTTTTTATTTTTTTTAATAGGTATACCCCAGTGGGCCGATCCTTTTTCTCTGCTCCAGAGGGCTATGATCACCCTTTGGGAGGGGGCAGAGAAGTATGGTTTGGGTTCCATCAGTCTGTTCGGCCTGCCATGTGGAAAATGATGCTTAATATTGACGGTAAGTAAATGATTTGTGTATAATAGAGGTAAGGAATGAAAAAGGCTACCTTATAGGTATAAAAATGTCTGTGCTGTTCAATTAACTTGTGTATATCTTACTTTAATTATAGAATAGTACATTTCATTTACGGGAATAGATGTCATAATTTGTGGAACAAAAGGATTTAATTGTGGGAACCTATCAGTTCCCAAATTTAACTTTTCTGTCTGCTATAAATTAAAAAATTAAGCTTAAAGTTTATAACTAAAATATTCATGCACATATTCTTAAAAAAGACAAGAAATTAATTTTTGTATATTTAGTTATTTTATTTAAATGTAGAGTTGCTATAAGATACATAAGCAGATTTGGCTGTCACCTGAAAAGCTATTTCTAAAACACGTAAATGGCTGAGTTTGAAGATTCCGCAGCCTCTTATTCTACAATCATTAGAGCATAATTTTTTTTACTTGATTGAAGACTATTGTAACTTGGCCATAAGACTTCCTTTATAGTTGTGTGTTTATAATTATAAATATTACAAAATTACTACCAGACAGTTCATTTGCAATGGAATTCAGTTTTTTGACTTTTCTTGCAAAGATTATTATGAAGCCCTTGTATTTGTATATCTGGATTTGCCGTCAAAGTTTAATCACTTGACTAAAAGCTGGTTGGTTTAATCAAGAAAGAAGAAGTGTGTTAATCTTTTATGTAGAGGAAATATATCACCAGTACATGGGTAAGGAATTTGTGGAAAAGAGTTGTTAGTGCCTCGACAAACCACTTAAGAGTATGACACCTTACAGACTTCAGTATAAATAAATTATTCAGTAGTAGCTGTTAGGTTTGATCTAATCTATCTAGTTAGATGAAGAGATCGGTTATTTGTTTATATTGATCTAGTTGAGATTGGCATTCTGTGGCTAATCAGAGCAGTTCTTCAGCACAGACGGCTTCTGAGAACAGTTGGTGTACTTGCCAGACAGAATATTCTACAGACTACAAGGATGTAAGCATTCATCTCAAGTACTTGAATTTAAAGCATTTTAAAGGAACATGTTCTTTCTTTTTTAAGGGCTCTGGCTGAAAATGGCTTGTGCTACTTAATCTACTTGAACTAATTTGCCAGTTTCTTGTGGCCATTGATCAACACATCATGCAAACGTTTTAATATCTTCCATGCTGAAAATTTGCCTTGATAATATCCTCATACACACACTGAACTCCAGGTTTGACTGACTTCATATAGGGATAAAGTTACAGGCCTGAAAATACTCTTAAGTAGTATAAAATGCAACATCCCATCTGCTAAGCAACAGGGGTGTGTCTGTATGCATTGCCCAGTCCTCTGTACTGGATCCCCACTCGGTTCTGTCTCCTGATATTTAAAGCTTTCTGGGATTTTTATTTCTCATGACAGCTACATTTCATTGGAACCGTAAAACTGTTGACCAATAGGAAAAGCTTCATGAGTGCAGAAGACACTCTGGACAAATTGGACTGAGACTGTGGAACTGCTAGTTTTAGGTGGTGCTTTGTACTCCAAGACTAGTGCTGTTAGAATTTTCTAATAGTTTTAAGCTTTTCACTTAATAGCAATACATAATGTAAACCTTTAATTGTGCTAGCTATATGATGCAGTAATTCAATAGAAAACTTTATTTTTTGCACTTTACTTATTATGATACTGATTTCATCATGGCAATATTAATTTGGTAATGATAGTGTTAAATAGGTTTTAGCAAAATATTGCAACTAAGAGGAATTATTTTTCCCAATTAGGCAAACACAAATAAAAAATAAGAGG